GTCACTAAGGAGTGTCATAACTTTCTCATGATAGTCTTTCTGGTTCAAAATCACTGTGCACCTTCCTTTGTCTGCTGGGAGAATGATGATGTTTTTGTCCTTGCTAAGAGTGGTGAGTGCATCCCTCTCCTCTCTACTGATGTTGGAAGGTGGTGGTTTGGCATTGCTGAGGCAGGCTGAAACTTTGATTCTGAGCTGTTCTGCTTCAGCCTCTTTAATTTTGTTGTTGCGGATGGCTGACTCAGTAGCTGTGATCATCTCCACCAGAGGAATTCTACTTGGTGCAACCGCAAAGTTCAGTCCCCTGGCAAGAATCTCTGTCTCTGGCTGGGTGAGCTGTCTGTCAGATAAATTCTTCACCCACTTTTCTGTCTCACTGTCTGTCTTTCTGTCTCCCAGGCATGTAATTGACTACTGGAGTGTTGTCCTACACTGAATGTGTTGTTATTGGAATAGTGATGGTGTTGATGAGCTATTAGTACGTTAAACTTGTTTTGTTGTCGAGTCTTGGACTTGACATGCTGTGCTAAGTGTGCCTGATCTGGTATTTTGGTTGTCAGCAGCAAAACTGGTTGATCCACTCTGAGACGGTGCTATTTAAGAGACTGAGCTGAATTCAGCTCCTCAGACTGAAGAACTCTCTCGGATGAGAGACGAAACGTTTCTACATTTTTTTGTTGATTTGCTTTGTTTTGTTTTTTTGAATGTCCAGAGGACCAGATTTAACTTTTTTAGATGTATGAGCTGAGCTGCTGTGAGGCTTGTGGAGCTGCTGACGCCGCAGGAGCGCGCGTTAGCACTGGTGCGGTCAGGAAGCAGCGCGCGGCATCGGTGGAGCGAGGCTACCACTGGCTCGGTCTGTAGAAACACGTTCATTCTTGGCTGCAAGTCACGTGAACTTCAGAGTGATTCCACGAGCTGCAGTATTAATTCAGAAAACCTTCTTTGAGGTTGAAGGAGCAGAGCCGCTGTGAGGCTTGTGAAACTGCTGACGCCGTGGGAGCGCGCGTTTGACACCACTGCGATGAAAAAACGTGTGTCGCTTCTGCCGAGAGCGAGATACATTGCTGAGCTCGTACCGTGGTCTCACGTTAACGTTGACATGAACGGCGGGCGCTGAGAGCTGCGTGCGCGCTTTCATGCCGCAGGAGCGCGCATCGGCACCGCTGACAGTGAATGAAAATAACCTTAAAAAGGCTCATTTGTGATGAGTGTGTGTGATGGGGCCACTTGTCAGATAAACCATGCTGACAGCCTGGCTAAAGGACACTTCATCATAAAATGATGTTATTTCACAGTGTCATCAACACACCTCCAGCAACCCGACACCTGGTTACCTTCCGTTGAGCTCTGTTTGTTGTCCTGGAGGGCCCCCTGTTGGCGAAGTCAGGGAAAACAAAATGAACTTCCAGATGCCGGGGACGTCTGACGGGAGGGGCTGGCGTAGCAGAGCTGGGGAGGCGTTGTGCAGCCGTGGAGCATCTTGAAATGATCTCTCGCTGATGAAAAGAGGATCTCCAACAAAACTTTTGCAGCTCTCCTGAGAGGAAGGTGGAGTGACGAGCCAGGAGAACCTCTGGGACCTCGTTCTCCGGCTGCGATGCGGGGCTGCAGACAGCAAAAGAGGCGCACCGGTTGAGGATGACGTCAGCTGCCCTGTAGACGGAGCATACTGCAGGGGCCGGCAGCGTCGTTAGCAAGCAGCTGCTACGAGAGCGGAGTGGGCCGAAGGACAGAGGGCCACCGTCTCTTCCCGCCTCTAAACGTGTACGCCAACAGCGTAACGTGTTGTTCGCTGCGGCCGTGTGGAACACATGCTGGTGAGCTCAGTTGGAGAGCGGTGTCACCGTCTCGGTTATGCTAACCGGAGGCACGGGACGCTGGTCCACCTCGACATCTTACTCCAATGAATCCTCCATCAGGCTCGGCTCCAGGGGGCACGGAGGGACTTTCCGCTCAGTGAACCCCTGCTTTGGAGATGGGTGCGGACTGTGGAGACCGGCTCCCCCAATCTACCAGGAAAAAACCCGTCTGTGGCCTCGCCCGTAGGACGTCCTGTTGGGAACACAAGGCCATATGGATCAAGATGGTGAGCCGGAATGGAGCCCAGTAAACAACCTTCCCGCCGGATCATCCGAACTGGCGGGAAAGGCGTAGGACGTAAAAAAGGGTCCTTTCATGTCAGCCGCCTCCTGGGTTATGCCGAGCAACCCCTGAGGGCGCCGTCGGCTGGGAGCGGTGTGATCGCCGATGCGAAACGAGGTGGGATGGGGTGAGCATTCACTCAGCCCCCCTCCACCGACACTACGCTCTCCAGGAGGGAACGAGCAGCGGGGGCTGCAGCTGAGCGCTGCCTGTCCCGGAGGAACCATCCGATTCGCTCCGAGGGTCGGCGATAAGAGGAAAAATACAAGATGGCGTTGTCCAGCGTGTAGTGACCTGTCACTGAGAAACATTCCTCGGCACTTACCTTGAAATAAGACTGCTCGTCAGCTTCTCCTCTGGGAGGAGAACTCACCGGACGACCGGAGGTCGACTGCTGGGCCAAGCATCCTTAACAAAGGTTGGTCATCTACACAATTTTCCTTCTTTGTTCTTCTGACAGTGCTATTAGCTCGCTGAAGAAAAAATGGGAGCCGATTTCCCGCTCTTAACGTAATTTATACGGACCGGGTGGGGCCCACACAGCAGGTGGGCGGGGACTAAATTTTTCAGTGCAAATGCTACGCATAACGGGATAAACCCACTAAGCGACAGCCATAAAGAGCGAAGCCTATACGAAATAGAACATGTATGGATAAACATTTGATTCTCTTTTAGACAACGTTAGTTTAAAGACATTCATGTCCTCTCCACCACACATTTATGGGAACAATCCTCTCTAAATCAACAGTTCACTTGGATAACTGACAAGCATCAGATAAAAAATAATAATACAGCAAGGGGAAAGATTTGGTTTTATTAAAAAAACTGATATTTTAATTTTCACGTTTGATTTCAGCACAAAGGAAAAGACCTATCATGATGTAATTCCCATTTCCTGCCTCACAGAGTTTCCCAATGTGGTCCAGATGGCAAAGGTGGGTAATTATTATCATTTATATTATTTGTTCAACTATATTTCATTACATTTTCAAAACTAATGGACTTTATTTCTTGATTTTTTTTTTAGCTTGTTTGTGAGGAGGTGAATGTGGACAGATTTTATCCAGTTCTTTACCCGAAGGTAAGATTTCTCTTTATGCCCCTGCCATCTATCCTGGCTATAGCATTCAAGTGTCTGGATGCTGTCTCTGCTCTTTCTTCTTCAGGCGTCAAGGCTCGTTGTCACCTTTGATGAACATGTAATCAGTAACAACTTCAAGTTTGGAGTCATTTATCAAAAGTTTGGCCAGGTGACTGCACATCAAAGAATCTCCAGATTTAATCCATGCATCAGTCAGTCCTCCTGAAAACCCTCTTTGTCTCCTTCTTGCAGACGTCGGAGGAGGAGCTGTTTGAGAACATGGAAGAAAGTCCTGCCTTTGTTGAGTTTCTGGAGTTTTTGGGCACAAAGATTGAACTTCATGATTTTAAAGGGTTAGAACATTTCTACATACATACATACATACATACATACATACATACATACATACATAC